CAATATTAAATATTTTTCTCGGAGTGCTTATTAAATCATTTTCTGTTAATACTTTTCCCAAAAGATCAAAGTATCGTCCGCATTCCTCTTTATTCATGCCTTGAGCTCGAGCTATAGACATTCCTTGAGCTTTTCGGATTGACAATTCTTGATGTCTCTGCATGAATGAAACAAACCAGTCATGGCCAGCTTGCTTCTTATCAATATTAAAGTTGTTGGGAATATTATTTTGAACTGCAAATGAAAATGCAAGCTTCTTCACATCAATCGATGTTAGTGCAAACCCATGTTTTTCCATGTTTTGAATATAGTTTACTAAACTCGCTTCATGAACTGTAGTTAAACAGTCCTGAGGTTTCCAGATCTCATCCTCCTCATTAAAGTACGGGCAGGAACATTGTATACACGACTAATTTGGCGAACTGATCCTCTACCATTTCTAAGGTCCTCAATAGCATTGCGAAGATCTTCTTCGGATCATAACGCCCTCACATCTTTCCGAACATAAGTTCGAGGCATCTCGATTATTACTGAAATAAAACAAAAAAAAAATTGTCAGCCTCCCGGGGTAATATGCCGCAGTTAAAAAATATGACGCGTATTACCCCACATTGTACCTTATTACTTTAAAAATTCGCAACACCCATTTTAGATACGTTTAACGGATTGTTCCGACAAAAAGAGTTAGGTTAGGAATTGTATTTTGGCATGCTCTTATTAAAGTTGGGTTACAAACACTTAGAACTGATTTTATCACTACGTATAACTTGAATTAATAATATTCTTTAAACTGTCCTTACCTTTACACTGACGATATTCCCTCAAAAACAAATTAATCTGATTTCTGAAGGATTCAGAAATAATTGCTGCCTTACACTAATGTGTTAAGATGAACACTTCCTTTTTGCTGAAAACCTCTGAAGTTTGTGATCTCCTCGTTTATCCACTATTCCGACACCAGATAACATTCCGTCAGCAATTGTATTCAATCTTCGTTGACCAACCCCAAATAACTTCGCAAAAAATTTTGAGCATACAGGTATTCTTTGTTTTTCTGTCGACATCAAGAAATATTTAACTGCAACGCGATGTCGCTTGTTTTTTCTCACATCACCACGAACACGGCTGCGTTTTGGATGCGTTACATCCATTAAAAAGGATAATCTTCTATCTTGCTCTTTTCTGTCTGGCTTAATGAAAACTTTTCTTTTTGCGTTTGCTAGGATGCTTCTAGAAATACTGTTGCAATTAAACTGGCCTTCTCGGTGGATACAGGTTGGCCGAAAATTGAGCAACAAGGGGTCGGCGTCTTGATATCTATAAAAGAACGAAACATGTACTACCATTTTTTTTGTAACAAACAAGCAGTACCTACCTCTTTTCATATTCTGCTTCCCTTTTTGTTTTTCGTCGTAGCTTTTTTCTTGATCCCTCATTATAGCTGCCCACCATAACACTGGTATCGAGGCTTTCCATTGTAATAAACTTAACACCTTAAAATACAGTAATTTTTAAATATTTAATGTAAATTATTTTTATTTAAGTAAACGTGTATCGCTGTTGCACCTGTTGCACTGCATAGGCAGAACTGAAATGCAGGTTATAATGAACAAAACTGACAAGTTTCAGCTGTTTTTGGTCGATATTGTCGCCTTCTAGCGGTGAAATGACATAATGCGTTTTGATCAAACCAGATCCGTGGACAAAATGCATTTTGATGTGAACCTTATACTTTGCATGCCAATTACACAGGGACATAATGCGCCTTGATATGTTTTATTTATCTAGGAATGTAGAACACAACAAATGATTTCAGAAACCGCTTCTATCTCAATTTTGTCCAAAATGGACAAAATGCGTTTTGAAAGTTGCTCCTCATATATTCATTAGCCGAAGGACGTCCTCTAGAAAAAGATAGCGGTTTCTTGTTTTGTTGTAACAAGGCTGTGGCAAGCCGCCGTCTAAATAACAATTGATCCATATGTCCTCCGTGCGATCTATAAACTTGCCAGGAATTATGAACAGCCATATCAATACAGTAGCTGATCAATGAAAAATACCACTTTTTACCCCGGATGGAAATGCGATACAGACCAATATTTTGATCACAACGATCAACGCCGCCCATATTTGCATTGTATACATTTACAAGATGAGACTGTTCTACCTAAAATCAAAAACATTTTTGAAAACATTGATTTTCTTGCAGATTGTGTTTCTTACCTGAATACTTTTTTTATCTTTTTGAGAGTATCTTTTTACAAAGCGAATTGGTTGCAATCCTGCGGCATATGAACAGAGTGTTACTAAATTATTGTCATGCCATTTTACTGCAATTCTGTTTGTATCGGAAATTATGTTGTAATCGTAACTACCTCTTTTTTCCCTTTTCATAATTTTAAAATCTCTTAATTGGACGATTTGTAAACGATTTTCTCTAGCAGTACCAGTGGCAAAGAAATTTTTTTCTGTCAATTTTACCACAAGAGGGAGAGAAGTGAAAAAATTGTCGAAAACTAAATGAAATTTTTCATTTGGCCATTTTCTCCCCAGTGCATCAGAGTACTCTAATACCACACCAGCACCAACCCCCTGCATAACTGCAACTGTTTGCATGAGTCTCTCCCAAAATAAGGAACCATTGCCTCATCAACACTATGCATTTCTGTCAAAATCCCATGTTCCATAAATTTTTGATTGAGGCTCGCAAATACAGGTCTAACTTTTGCAAACTGATCTCCTTGCTGTAAATTGTAGTTATCTACTAAATGGAAATTTGACATAACATACACAAATTTATCTCGTGTAAGCGCTTCTGTGACGAGTTGATTATTAGCATCTCTTTCACGTTCCCAGAACATTCTTCTACGTGGTACATCGACATAACCACTCAATATTAGTGTTCCAATAAATACCCTTATTTCATACTCTTGCACCTCTTGTTGGCGATTCTTTTGCCATATCTATTTGTTTCAGTTGTTATGCGTGTATAAGTTCGCCGTCAAAAAAAAGTGAAAACCATTCAAGTGGAGTCTTAGAAGCATTATTTTGTTCAAGATAGTTTTCTGGAACTTCTTGTGGTAGATCCTCCTGCACCCATTTGTACGTTTTTCGTTTCTTTAGCTTTTTATTTTTTATTTTTTTAGCCAATTCAGACATTGGAATATTATCTTCGGAATCAGATGAAGATATGCAAAATTTTTCATGAGGTATGTTTATCTCAGCAGGTGCTTGTAATTGTGAACCCGGTAGAGTATCAGCTGACATTACTTTCTCATCGCCGGAGTCCTCGTCTGTGAGAATGTCACAAGCATTGATTGAGGGCATCAATGTGATAATATCCAGATTTGTTACTACATCTTCATTATCCTCCAGCATAGCAAGGGCTTCCTCCAGAGAAAAGCCCCTAAAAATGAAACAGGCATGTATTTTCCTGGCGTACAATATTTTGCACACTCAAATAAAATGACGCAATTGTGAATCCGAAATAATAAGATAAGTAATTTGGCACTATAACTGGAAAAAAGCATGTGTGTTTTATTGGTAGAGCAATCAAAACATTTTTTTTATTTACGTTAAGGCCATATATTTACTTACTTGGCAAATCGTATCCTATATTCAGCCATGTCACAAAAAATAAAAACTTCTTCACAAAATCACAAAAAAATCTCAATACAACGATAACACCCAACCGCGTCAAAATAAGCACAGGTCGTTGCAACTCGCGACTTGTTTACGGTGTACCATAAATTGTACGCTAGGCATATGTGGGTTAAACTTCGATTTTGGGGGTTCAGAGGCTTCTGATCATTTTCGGAAAAATTCTTGTAGGAGTTGAATCTTGGGGGTTGGCAGTTGTACAGGGTAGGGAGTTATAAATGTAACGTCTTTGGTATTAGTCAAAGACGTTCTATCATCAAAAATCTCCTGATCCCGGCAACAACGGGAAAATGGGTAACAAACTTCAACTGGTTTGCGGTGATGTCGTCACTGATACACCGCTTCAGGGGAAGTATATATGTATTTTATGAATATTTTGATATTATAGTAGCACAAACTATTTCAACGTTCTGTGGTTCTTTTGTAAATGATGACTTCACTGCTTTTATAACTACATATATATTTTTCTGATTTTTATGATCCTTATTTCGCATAAATCTATTTTACGCTACTCCGTCTATGGCGGTTCTCTGAATACTTCGTCAAGTAGATTGACTCCAGTTCTTATGACATATTGATGTACAAGAGCGACGGACTGACAAGCTGACATAAATGAGAAACACGGACCTGTGTGATTCAGATATCTTTAAGCAGCAGGAAACTTTTGAACCGAAGTTTGATTATTATTAAACTTGCATCATTCAGGTAGTCGTAGATTTTGAAAGTTGACTAAGAGGTGGCAGAAATAAAACCGGTGGAACATAGTGTTGCAACGTTACAGATATTCCCGCTTATTTTCAGACATTGTTTGGAGGGGATGAAAATTGAAGGTTGGAAGCTGCATGTGATATTTAATATTAATTGTTGCATATTTGGTGTCAGTGAAAGACCTCTTATTATTAAGAAGCTGCTGATCTCAGTGATGCTATGCACCTATTAGACATAAGGAGTGACACATCTTTTTCCCACACCTGCAATATGATGGATTTGTTTTATATAGTTCCGTACCTAAGTAAACCTACCTAATCACGATTCTGTTTCTCTTTTTGAAAGGATTTAATTCATCCCTTTTCTTTGAAATCCCCAACGGAGGCGTAGGAAGTATAGCTACTTGACGCCGTTCTGTATTTTATTATATGATGCGAAGTTTTTGAAATATTTAGATGGAGAGATTAAAACGGGATACCCTGTATATCGCAGGTGTCAAACATGTCTAGCTTATATAGCCACCATACTAAAAGTATTGCCGCATGTTGCTGGCTACGATATTTCAGCTAGATAATGCAGTAAACGTTGTCCGTTTAGAAGAGGCAGATGATAAATGCCATTATTAAAATACTGTCAGTTGCAGTAGATATATTTTCTAAAGTACAGTCTAACGGATTTAGTGGTCTGACTACAGAGAGAAACGTTTTTATTCAATCGTATGGTAATATTGGGGTGAAGCTGTGAGGCAGATCTAGCCAGAGTTGTCTCTACTAGTTGCCATATACTGTGAAGAAGAACGTGACTACAGAGTAACACAGCCTCATCATCTGGAAAATAAATAATATAGAATAACACATGACAGATTTATAAAAACATATCTATGGTTTACATTAAGGAGATCAAGGTCCGCAGAAAAAGGGGGTTGAATGAAGACCCTTTCAGAGTTTAAACCTGAATCGTAATGGCTGAATTGGTTTGCCCTTCGTCTCTATACAACGTTGCTTTATACGTTTTATCAATCATCCATACCATTGATTCCCAAAGTGGTCTATATCGACCACTAGGGGTCTATGATAACCTGCAAGGGGTCTACGTCAGCGAAAAAAAATTTGGGGGTCCATGAAATGAATATGGGGGTCCACGATAGTGGATCTCAACACATACACTGATAGTACCTATTTACTTACATCATACTATATTATAATATCAAAACATATACATTATTAATAAAAGTACCTATGAAGTAAAAATTTATTATATATGTTTATAAAATTGTGTAAGTTGTAGGATGTTGGTATTCGCTTTGTGGTCGCAATACATTTTGAACTTGTAAAAACCTGATAGTCGCAGTCTCAGAGCTTGGCTATCTTGCACTGACTTGTTCAATTCGTCACTCTATAAAAACGAATGTGGGACAAATACGTTTATTCGTTTCCTGAATCTTGAAAAGGAAAGTGCTAAGAAAATATTTTAACAAATATAAACAGATAGTATATCACACAAATTATAGTGAGTCAGTGTTATTTTGTTTGAGAGTGCTGGAGAAAAGTAAGTACATTATTTTTTATTAAATTTTAGTTTTGTACTCGTAGTTAGTAAAGACAGATAAATTACGCCAATCATGACTTCAGTTATTAGTAGTTAAATATTCAGTCATGCAAAATTACACGAGTACTCCTCAATAGTTTCTTTTTGAAAGTTTTAGCAATCGGTAATATAATGACAGTGCAATCTCTGTAATTCGAGATAATTGTTGCAAGAAGATGTTCGAATTATGGAATGTTTTCGGAAAAATCAAAAAATATTTTTAATATACAGCTGCTGGATTTTCTGTCTTATTTAAATAATTTCATTTTGGCCACAGATGACTGATGCCATGTCCGAATCTAAAAAGAAATGTAGACCGTACAGTGTTGATTATTTGAAATTTGGCTTCATTCCATCATTGCCGGACAAACAATCGCCTATGTGCCTTTTATGCAACAAAGTTTTGGGCAATGACGCTATGAAACCATCTAAACTGCAAGATAATCTGAGAAGATGCCACCCTAATAAAACAGAGAAAGATTTGAAATAATTTCAAACTCTCAAAGATAAATTTCAGAGGAGACCTGCACTGGACAGAATGTTCGCTTCGACGTCACAAAGAAATGATGATGGTTTGCGGGCGTCTTACAATATCTCGTTACTTATAGCAAAATCCGGAAAACCGCATACTATCGGAGAGAAGTTAATTTTGCCAGCCGTTGAAGAGGTTTTAAAAACTATTTTACACAAACCTGCATCTGATATCATCAAAAGAATTCCCTTAAGCAACAATACTGTTGAAAGACGTATTGATGAAATGAGTTCTGATATTGAAAGCTTCTTATGTAATTATTTGCAAACGACCCATTTCTCTATACAACTGGACGAGTCAAATTTACCTGATAATGCAGCATTATTATTGGCAAATGTTCGTTTTATTATGAATCAAGAAATCTAAGAAGAACTGCTCTTCGCAAGAACTTTGATAACCGACACTAAAGGTGAATCAATATTTCTTGTTTTGAAGGATTACTTCATTGAAAAAGCAATTCCTTTATCAAATATAATATCAGTACCTACAGATGGAGCACCTGCCATGGTTGGACGTTATCGTGGATTTGTAAGCTATTTAAAACAAAATGTGTCGGGGGTGTTAGCAATACATTGCGTCATCCATCGACAACATTTAGTTGCTAAAAATTTGAGTGTTAGATTGCATGAATCACTTCATTTAGTCATTGATGCAGTAAACCGAATCCGAAGCAACGCGTTGAATACGCGGTTATTTACGCAGTTGTATGAAGAAAATGACGAACACTTTCATCAATTACTCCTTCACACTGAAGTACGCTGGCTGTCGAAAGGCTTATGTTTGACAAGATTTTTTGCACTTTTCGAGACTATTTTAGAATTTCTGGATACTAAAGATAAAATTTCAAAAGAAAATTTAATGGAGAGGAAAACAGACCTCGCCTATTTAACAGATTTGTTTACAAAATTTAATATGGTTAATTTGCAATTACAAGGCGACAGTTTGAATTTTATTAAAACAAAGTCCATCTCATCAGCGTTTCTTGACAGAGTTAAACTAATGAAGGAAAATATTGGATGTGGCGAATTTTCTCAGTTCCCCAATTTGTCACAGACAAGCTGCCAGGAAGGCGACGTTGCAACTTACGTTCAACATTTAAATGCCCTCTATTCAGATTTTGAATCTAGGTTTGAGGATATTTTGACTATGGTAATACCACCGTGGATAATTAATCCATATGGTGACGTAGAAGGAACGAATGTCATAATACAAGAGGAACTGACTGAACTAAGTACAAACGAAGAACTTAAGGTTCAGTTTAAAAACGGATATCAGCAATTCTGGCTGCAAAACAACATACCCGTTACTTATCCCGTATTATGGAATATAGCGAGGAAATTTTTAATTTCCTTTCCATCGTCATACCTAGTGGAAAGGGGGTTCAGCGCTGTTACCAATCTCCTAACGAAAAAAAGAAACAGACTGGACATCATTAGCCGAGGAGATTTAAGATTAACTATTACAAAATTGACGCCAAATGTTGATAATTTATTATTAAAGCATCAGGTTCATCCTTCTCACTAAAAATATTGGCTTATTGCTTATGTTATTTTATTTATAGTTTATTTTATGTTTATTGGTGTCTGACCAATAAATGCCCGCATTGGGAATAAGTGCCCGCATTGATTTTTTTAAAGAACCCTCCTTTATAGAAAATATTTTTTTTAAAATTATTCTGAAAATTCAAGGATAGATACACTCTAAAATTCGTTAATTTTTTGCCTATTTTTAGATAACTTAAACGTATAAGAAGCGGAATTTAATCAAACTAACAGTGAAATTATTGTAGAACATACGTTATGTTATAATTAATAAACGAACTCGCTTATTGTCCTATTTTATGTCAAAAACTTTTTTTTTATTATTTTTCGCTTTTTTTTTATTTTATCCCTCTTATTTTTTTTCAATGCGGGCACTTATTCCCAATGCGGGCACTTATTGGTCAGACACCTGTTTATTTAATGATACGTATAATTTACATAACATATTCAACATTTTATTTTGAGTAGTTTTAATTTAAATTCAATTAATAAATATATAAATTAACATGTATTTTTACATTAAGTTTTTAACACTAAACTTCACTACAGTTCGAAATCTTCAGGAAATCAATATCAGGTAAGTAGGGAGTCTACCCAACATGGAAAACATGGCAAGGGGTCTACGACACAAAAAAGTTTGGGGAACTCTGATCCATACGTTATAGGTCTAGTCGTGTGGAGAGACAAACGGTAAGCAAACAAGCGGGTATGATTGACTGAAAAATTTAGTATTGTGTCACCTCTTTGTTGAATGTTATACTTTGTTACCTTAGTGAAACAAGTTATGTCCATTTCCCCCACAGCTACTGCTTTCAAAACGAGTTTCCTCTGTGACATCACCATCATCATTTGCAACAATTTGGACTGGTTTTTGTTACACTTCAGCCAGTTGTTTTCATTATACAGAAAATGAGAAATTGCCAAGCTCTAAAATGTGAAAGTTATCGAAAGCCATTCAGCTTTTTGGAAAGAAAAAGTGACTTAAAGGAGGTTGTCATTTTTTTAGCACATCGTATCACTTATCTACTCACCTCTATCTGCAAGACATTTGCAAACCAAAAAAATATATACATATTAGAAACCGCCATGAATAGTCCGAATACAAATCGAGTTTTCTCAACAAAGTCTTCTTCCTGAAATATTCATTTGTCATGGGGCAGTTGGCAAAACTCTTACATAATGATGATGATAATAATAATTATAGTCTTTATTGACAAAAAAAAATTTAGACATTACGTGGGAAAATTTAGCACCTGCTATTCCACCATCTAGAAAAGTAACTTAAAAAAGAGTTACACAGAAAAAATGAAAATAGAGTATGTCACAACACAACGTAGTACAAAGTAATATTAATTTGCTTGTGAAAAGGAGAAGAGATAACAATAGGTTATGAAGAAACGGAAAATTTTCAGACCAAAAATACAAAGAAACAGGACTGTTACTTTGTGGCGTCTTCAACGGAGGATAAGGTTGACAGTGTCTCGATTTGGTGAAGTTTGTATAATAAGGAAGACAACAAGCTGTAAAGTTCTAGTAAACTCCATCATATACCCAACAGAGTTTTCTAGTAAGGCAATGAAAAAAAGGCAATACAAAAGTCATTGGACACGGCAGTTCAATCTTGTGGTTTGTTTACTGATCGAACACATCCATTTCTGGCAGCATCACCTCCATCTACCTATTACAGTAGACAAGACATGTACTTAATCCAGGTATAAGCCTACTTGTTTATTGCTTTGCAAAAACTGCCTAACTGTGTTTATTGACATGAATAAACGAATTTGAATTTGAGATCTTGAATTTATTTTAGGAAAGATATAAAATTATTTGAATACAATTTTTTCTTAGTCGGAACGCACCGTCACGACGCTTGAACTGGCAGGACGAAACAGTAGATGAATTTCGCCCAAAAACCGATTTGCACTTCACAGCTTACGTTTCATTTTTATTATTTCCAAATGAATGAACATGAATAACCGAATTTGAATTTGATTTCTTGAAATTAAACATAACATCTCATTTTAGAAATTTTTCGCGATTACAATACTTCCTCGCCAATGGCGTGGGAAGTAAAACGGCTTTAAAATCGAGGAGTATCAGCGATCGCGATTATGAGTACCTATTTGCAGAACGAGTTATCTACGTGATATTATATGAAATAGGGCCACCAAATTATCTGAATACGTCCTTCCTTAGTCCGTACATTGCGCCGCAACGCTTGGGTTGGCAGCACGAAACAGTAGACAAAATTGACGCTTTATTTTTTGAAACGTTTGGATGAAATTTTCAGTGTGCTGAAAACAAACCCCACAGGGTGCTATAGAGCCATTTTTTAATTTTTTTCACTAGGTTCTTTTTAAAAAAATCGCAAAGTTCAACAGAAGAAGCGCGCACTTCAACCCATCATAAAACTTGTGCAAAAACAAAATTTCAAAAAGTGCTCCTATAGCACCCTGGACAATTATCTTCTCAACATACTGTAAGAATTTCATTGAAAAATATTGAAAAATGGAGTGTCAGGTTTGAAGCAGCTGAACCCTTGTAAATGGCTTGAAACTCACTGCGTCGGAACCGCCTTAAAGAACCAGCTCACTTTTGTCGGTCCGTGTAATTAATACTTACGATTAGCACAGATATCAGAAAAGCTGCAGTATCGACAGAGTAGGTCATATACTGAATTAGTACAATTTCTTTCATTGCATCCTGTAGATAACCCATATTTCTAAAAACATTTAATATGTTTTTTATAAACCTTGTAACTACTAACCGGGAGCTGAGACCTGACTAAATACAAACCTGATAATTTCTTGGTGATCCTTCAAACAGTCCTTGATATTTTTAGTAATACTATGACTGTCTTGAGTGTCACAGATATTAGTGACTTTATATTGAAGTATTCTTATTCGAGCAATAACAAAAAGTATCATAGTGAGAGGGGTTGTTTTGTCGTAAGTGATGAGGATAGTACAAACAACTACAAAAAAGATGTCGTGAATGGAATATATCCATGGGTATTTTTCTGTATCAAACGGGTACCACAGCTGAAAAACGGCACCATTGATGAATGGACATGCGTCAGTTGGTACTAGGACGTATGACTCTCTGGAAAGAAAATTATGCATTAATGACAAAGTACTCAAAAGTTGCGGCTGGACAATTTTCTCAGCAAACACATTTTAGGAAGTCTAAGGTCGTTGACTACATAGGGTTTTCGCAGGAGGACAGATAGGCTACAAGCCCTCACTTCCTAAGACTTGGATTTATGTAGGGTGTTCTACGAAGGTCTGCAGCGATAGATTGCTTAGAAAGTAGCCGTTAGGCAATTATGAAAATTTGAGGCTTCGACGAAATTCAACGAACTTGCATATTTTAAATGGGAGACCCCCAAGTATTGTTTAATTTTTAGATTCTACACATGATTCTGTACACATTTCATATATCATCCTATATGTACATCTGACCATTTTTGAAAATATTTTCAATTTCATGTAATAAGTCAGAAATTGAATCAAGATCAATTCCTCCTGTATTTGTGACCTTGCTATAGATTTTTAACGGTCTTCCTGTAAAACAAGGCTTACTTCATCCGATGCTTACATAAAAAATAATACAGGGCGGCAAATAATTGATATTGATATTGATACGACGAATTACGGTAAAATTCTCAAAAACCCAATAAGTCATTTTTTTTCAAATGGACACCGTCTTCTCTTATAATTGTATCGTATCAAGCATTAAATACAAGAATAGTTTTGTATAAGTTACAAATTAGTAGTTGCCGAGAAATCTTGATAGATTGATTTTTTAAACAAAATTAATAATATTTCAAAAACTGTTGGATCATAGGATAATATAAATGAAGTATTCAGAAACATAGAAATCAAATATTTGAATCGAATTTTCCCCTCTTTTTAAAATTGCTGCACCCCTTCCCAAGATAAATGAACCTCTCAAAAATTTCAGAACGAATTATAAGTTTTTTGATCTCCCTACTGTTTCGTGTTTTGAGTCAATGAAATTCTCTGAGTACTGACTGTACCACAAGAAAATAGGATTCGACGAAAATGCATAAGCTCACAAAAAGAAGAGTTATGGAGCTCTGTGATTCGTCAGGAGTGAAATTAATTGCTGAGTTTAGGGAAAATTGCTGATTATTTATGGGATTTGGCCAGAGGTAGAAACGAGGATCGTGATGGTTGTAAAAATAACACACACACACACACACACAGAAGTACTTTTTTGTATCAAATAGGTACAAAAATTGGAAAACAGCACATGAGATGAATGGGTAAGAGTCTGTTGGTACTAAAGTGTGAGATTGTATGAAAAATAAAGCATGCACTAGTAGCTCAGTACTCAGAGAAATAATTTGCTTCAATTGTGAATTCTGAATCCATTCGTGCAAGAAAATATTTTTGATGAAAAGATTGACATAAAAAGACTGATCCCAAAAGTGGGTTAAAAGATCGTTATGAATTCCTTGCCTGTGCACTATATAATTTGAAATTTCTGATTTTTGGTGCATTCAAGAGCTTTTTAACAACCTCTATACGTATAGTAGATAAATATGGAGAGATACGTTTTTATTGTTTTACTAACAGCTATGCAGTAATTTTAGGAAATGAATACTATCAAAATTTGTACAGCCTTTCTGAACGTATGAAACTTAAAATGGATTACAGTCACAATATGTCAAAACATATATAAAATGCATTATTTTATGTTTTAATACAAAACACCTTACCTTTTGCCTATAACAAACCAAGATATGCCTGTCATCATCACAGTGCTCGCAACAGATATGCAAAGTGTATTGGCGAATTTACTGCTTTTCAAGTAAACCTGTATAACTTCAGGACTCTCGTTTTTCAGTAACTTTTCTTCAAACTCTGTTATCACCCCAAAACATCGTTTCGCCTTGTTAGATCTCAACAAAAACGTAATACAAATAGCAGTTATAACGTGAATATAGAGGGAGGCAACGTCAAACATCATCTTGAGACAGTTTCGGTGGTAAATTGCCGTCAACAGCGAAAAGTGACAGCTTGATATGAATAACAAAAAAACAACTAGACAAAATTTTTCATAGATTTTTTCGAGTGTGTTCTTATTTTCTTTGCCACTCCACTGCCCAACAACTGTCATTATGAATTTTTGTACACGTAGATGATGCATATTGCTCGAATAGCGATATGAGCTCTTCTGTAGACAGTCGTCCTTACTAGAGGTTGATCTCATTAATTTGTCATGAGATCATTGTCTGATTATTACCCATTCATATAATTGCCTTTTGTGGAAATTATACGTACCACCAATGATTACCTCAATTTCGCTAATCTGTTGTTCTCATTCATACTGTCCTTGGGCAGTAGTCTTATTAAACTATGTACATATAATATTATTGATATAATAAAGTATTTTCTAAAAGCCAATACGACTTAGATCATAGCATTTGCAAACCAAAGGAAACAGATTTTTCATGATCACATATCGTACATTCACATTTTCTACACTTACCAGTGGCAGTTTTTTACTTTGGACTGATACAAACATTACATATACTAAGTGACATATAAATCCGAACACCCAGTTTAAATGGTTTTATTTTAATAAAAGTTGGTGAATGTATTTATCTTACTGTAAATAACAAGTGAAAAAATTTTCAGCCTTATCAGTTGGACATTCCGGTTTTTATACTGCTTTTTTTTAATTCACTAACGCTCTAAAAATGAATATTTCAGCCGCAGTAAAGAATCAACGTTGGCGGATTTTGGTTCTTGACATATTTTACGATCGGTTACGATGCCTAGAGTACGGAGACCCGTACGATTTCGTCAACTTAGTGAGTTTGATAGGGGCCTTATAGTGGGACTTCGGGAAGCTAGACTTTCTTTTCGGGCAATTGCAGTTAGAGTGCAAAGAAGTGTAGACACTGTGGTTAGGTGTTGTCAGGCATGGCTTCGAGAAGGTCGTACGCAAAGAGCAAGGGGCACTGGACGCCGCCGTAGAACAACAGACCGTGAAGATCGCCGCCTAAGATTATTGTCCTTAAGGAACCGTTTCTCCACTACCAGGTCCATTGCAAATGAATGGTTTGCAGAACACGGAAGACCTATTGGCATGCGAAGTGTTTACCGACGAATGAGAAGTTTTGGCTTGTTTTCATACCGGCCACACTGGGTCCATTGCAAATGAAAGGTTTGCAAAACACGGAAGAACTATTGGCATGCGAAGTGTTTACCGACGAATGAGAAGTTTTGGCTTGTTTTCATACCGGCCACACTGGGTCCTCCCTTTAACTCGAGAACACCGACGTAATCGCCTTGAGTGGTGCAGACAACGGTCACTCTGGGATCAAGAATGGAACAGTATTGTCTTTAGTGACGAGTCTCGATTTTGTTTAGGCATGCACGATGGTCGTGCCAGGGTTAGAAGGCGACGTGGTGAAAGGAGGAATCCACAGTTTTTTGTTGAAGGACATGTTCATCACACTGTTGGAGTTATCGTTTGAAGTGCTATAGCTTATGGTTCCAGGTCACCTTTTATCTTCATCAGAGGTAACATGAACGTGCAGCGTTATATCCACGAAGTTCTAGAACCCCATCTTTTACCCTATCTTGACACCCTGGCAGATCCAACTTTCCAACAAGATAATGCCCGACCACATGTTGCAAGAGTCACAATAGACTTCTTTCAACATAATGATGTCACATTGTTACCATGGCCACCAAGATCTCCCAACTTATCCCCAATTGAGCACGTGTGGGATATGATGGGTAGGAGACTGCTCAATTTGCAACGTCCTCCTCAGACTCTAGAAGCACTTTGAGAGGAGTTGGTGGTTGCCTGGAATGAGATACCACAGGAGGACATTGACCACCTGATCAGAAGCATGCCTAGGCGCGTTGGAGAATGCGTAGCACATCAGGGTGCATCCACACATTATTAAAGGTCAAAGGGCTTTAAAGCAGTGCAATCATTTTGAAATTTTTATCATTTACTTATTATGCTTCATTAAGTACTTATACAAAATTTTATTAAAATAAAACCATTTAAACTGGGTGTTCGAATTTATATGTCACTTAGTATATAAGTATAAAGAAACAAATAAAATTTGGCTACACTGCACCTACGGGTATTTGAATTAAAGATCCGGCCAAAACTTTTTTCATTTTAAGTTACTTCAAAAACTGTTATGGTTAATAATGCTGCTAAGAACAGCAGGTAAAGAAATAAAATGCTTATGATTGAAAAACGTGAAAATATTTTATTTAAAAATATAAAATATGTTACTAAGAAGATGACAACCAAGAATTATCTAAATAGTCTCCTATTTCTGGTACAGTGTCTTCATCATCATCATCATCATTATCACCAGACAAATTAGAATGGCCCATCGGTTCTCCAGGCAGGGGCAGTTTCCTTGAGAAGTGGTTTTGTCATTGTTCTGGGAGTAGGTCTCATGTTATCAGGCGATCCCAGCTCAATAATAATCTATTTACGATATCAGGATTGCAAGACTCCCTGCTGAACTTCCGAGCATAATTTTGGTGGTATAACCGAAAGTGTTTATTGCGAGCCTCTGCGGCCTCTTCTAACATCATTCCTATAAGCAATAAAGTTTTTTCAATGAATATGGGTCCATGGAGCAGTATTTTGTGAAGAGTTGGTGTCATTGGATGCCACGAATATAATTCAATGTACAGTTGTGCCGTGTCCTAACAAAATATTTCAAATTTCTGTTTGTCTATTTTATGGCCGCTTGATATCGCTCCTAGAATTACTTTAAGATGAAAAAGGAAACGGGAATCTATACCGGTTATTGTTGCTGATAGCTCATGATCCGTAAAAAATCTCCTACTGGTATTCCCAGCATTGCTCTTTCCGAAACCAGCTTTTGGAACATCAACTATAAGACCCATTTGGGATATAAATTCCTTTTGTATCTCCAATTTCCTTTGTGGAACTATTTAATAATAATAATAATAATAATAATAATAAATGGGCTTTATTTCGTACCTAAGTAAAAGTACAAAAAAGGCGAAGTGTCGCTAAGATTAGCGTTTTTCAACTTAACCTTAACCTTAACAAAAAAAATATATATAATTATATATATAATAAAACATTCCACCAACAAAAATGTATCCATAATTCTCAATAATTACTAAATCATTAAAAACACAGAACAATTACAAGAATAGTCCATATTTCTAGCATTTTGTACTCATCATCAGACCTCGACTTGTAGTTTTAGTTTAAGCCTCTTTTTAAAATTAAATAACGTATAGTTTTGGAATGTAACAGGCAGATTATTATATAATTTAATAGCATTGTAGCTGAATGATGTTTTGTAGACAGCCTTAGAATGTAAGGGTATCACTAACGTATTCCTATTCCTTGTATTCAGTTGATTTATGTCACTACATCGTGTTAACTTATTATGCAAATATTGGGGTTGTTTGGTAGCTAAGACCTTATGTGTGAGTGTCAATAAATGACTGCATGCCTTTAATCTGCAGAATACCAAGTTCCTTAAATTTATGAGAAATATGATCAAACTTTCGTATTCCGCAAGAAAATCTGATGCACGAATTCTGAATACGCTGTAATTTGCTTTGTTCACTATATGATAGAGCTGCGCCATATATACTGTCACAATAACTGATCTTTGATATAATTAATGTTTCACACAGTTTCAGCTCTACTGAAGCAGATATTATTTGCCTATGTGGATAAAACTGTTTCAAAATGCAGTATGATGCACTACATAACGAATTTACGTGTTTTTTGTATTTTAGTCAGAACAGAGACAGATGTCAATCCAGAGTCCCAGGTTTTTACACTCATTCATTATAGGAAGCTGGCAATCATAGATTTTAAGGTTAATTTCCGTTTGGATCAATGTTCTTTTGTTTTTTGAGCCGAAAACCATAACTGAAGATTTAGATGGATTAATTTTTAGGTTATGCGAGCACGAGATTTCTACTAGCCTTGTTAAGTCTTCGTTGAGCAATGCTTATGCAATTTTAAAATCTTTGTGTTGGAAACTAAAATAAATTTGAGTATCATCAGCATAGTGATGGATTGTGCAATTATGGACATATTGATGGAAATCCGATATATATAGAGAGAAAAGTAAAGGTCCCAGTATGGAACCTTGAGGAGCACCAAAACTTATAGCAGTTAACTGTCACATTTTCGACGCTATTACGACCTTTTGACTTCTATTTGACAAATAGCAGCTTATCAAATTGACTGCAGCATCAGTAAAACCATAGTAAGACAGCTTAAGTAGCAGAATTTTAGGGTCTATCATATCGAAAGCTTTTGTGTAATCCAGCAGAACTAAACAAGTGATATTTCCTTGATGAAGGCCTCTTATAACATCATCAGTGACATTGGCTAGAGCAGTTGTTGTACTATGGTTTTCCCTGAATCCAGACTGCACTGATGGAACTATTTCATTACTGAAAATATACTGAGATATTTGTATCTTCATTTCCCGTTTCAAAAGCTTCGAAAATGCGGGAAGTAAGCTGACTGGTCTAAGTTGCGTTACAGACGTGGGAATCGCTACTTTAGGAATAGGTGTGATGATAGCCTGCTTCCAAGCATCAGGGAAACAGGATGTTGATATTGCATGATTGATTATAAATGTAATATGGTCTAAGAGCAAAGTGAAAATGTATTTTATCATAATGAGTGAGATTCCATCAGCCCCTACAGCATTAGTTTTAATAAATGAGAAACTCTTCGCAACAGATTCTTTGGCAACCTACAGAATGACTTGGGAAACTTATTGTTTTGATATTTGATCAGTAGTTCTAATTGCTTTTGTATCTTGGTTATGATCGGAATATTTGAGAAATGTGAATTTATTTCATCTGCGTCATTGAAGCTATCTGGAAGAGTATTTATAGAGGACTTAATTATATTAAGTTTCCTAAGAGAACCCCATATTGCTTTACTGTTTCTCCCAGATAGGATATATTCCATATAAGCCTTTTTCTCTCTCCGCAGAGCAGCAGCAG